TTTTTCGCTATACGACTGCATTTGTTTGTTATATGCTCGCTGGAGGCATCGAGAAGGTTCCAATCGTCGTTGCTAGGCAGTTTCTGTCAAAAGTTTGTTGTATACTCTTTGGAAGCATCGAGAAAGATCCAAACGCCGTTGCTAGGCAGTTTCTGTCTGGAGTTTGATTCCTAATACAACGTGTGTCCCATTATATCGACATCTCCAAAGTACAATTCTATGTGATTTCTAGGGAGAACAATACAACCGATCCACACCTTCGTCAGGCAAAACGTTTATCTCGTGACCGTGGCTACGTTCGGCGACCAGTTGTCACCTCGAACCCACTTTCGCTTTCACAAATATCAAACAATTACAAATGACAATTGCTTAATTACAGCTGTGATAAAATCTAGGCTAAAGCATTAGAAGACTTTCTCAAAATTGCAAAGGGAAGGCTCCGGTTTTTCTTTCATCTCCGACATATATAAACAAAATAAAAAAAATGAGTGGTCAAAGCTGACCTACAAAAAGATAAAAAATAAACAAAATGATACTATCATATGATATGATTGCTAACAATCTTTTGAACAGCTTCGTGTTAACACTTTATATGGATCATAAACGATAATTTGACTTGTCATGAACACTAACCTTACTGGGTAAATAAATGAACGGTTTCAAAATTTAATTTAAAATTAATTTCAATTCATTGTTATTTCTTTCGTTCATCCAACTTTATTCTTAATTCTTATATTAACAAAAATTGGAAAATTGATTAATCAGATAATATAAAAATTTACACAAAGTTAGATGAACAAAAGAAATAACAATGAAAGTACAATTCTAAATTAAATTTTGAAATCAGTCGTTCGATCGGCCCTGGTAAGGTAAGTATTAAGGGATTAAGGAGGTTAAATTGCAATATTTTTGACTAAAATAACTAAATTTAATAACTAAAATAATTTAACTAAAATAATTTAACTAAAATAATAATAATGAAATTTCCTTTTCTTTTAAATATACGAATATCCACAAAAATCTTTATACAACCTACAAAAAGCACATTTTTATTAAAATTAAATGCTATAAAATTTTTCTGCAAAGTCAGGACATTCTTTGTCAAGATGATGAAGAGCTGCTTTATTATTGCTTTGTATGTTAAAAAATAAATATGTTATCACATACGTCATTACATATATGTATATACTTTATTTCATAAAAGTGAGTTTCTTACTATATGTATGAAGACTTTTGTGGATGATCATATATCATTTATATACAAAGAATTATGAGATAAGGTCATAATTGCTTCAAAATGCTTCTACATTTATCGTAAAAGTTTAGTTGATATTAACAAAAAGTATTTAGTTTATGTCAGAAAAAATATAATTAATATATAATAATATATGTACCCATTTCATCATAAAACGTTTTTCTTTCAATTATTTGCTTATTTTATATATTACTTTCTTGTATAGTTTATATAGTTTAATTATATTTTTATTTTTTACATATCTTAATATAAAAAGACTCACCATGAATGTTCTGCATTAAAGCCAGTCTGTAAAACATATCAATATATAGTAATTATTTATAAATTGTACTATATTGCTTTCGAATAATGTTTTCATGTAATTTCACTTACTCTGCCATTACTTCCTATACATAAAGTAAATGATTTATCGAACCATCTGTCATATCCTTTACCATGCAATAAAATTCTACCATATTGATCTAATTTATCTGGATCTTCCTAATGATAAAAATTATGTATAAAAATTATGAACATGATACAAATTTACAAATAGGATAATTCTAGTATCACTTACTGGATCGTATACATATGGTACGTCATCTAGTGCAACTATAAATGCTGCTTTTTCAATAAGATCTAAAGATGCTTTATTTACTCCTTTCGAGAAAAATTCTTCTCTAGCTATTGCCCATGCAGTTCTTTCACCAGCTGTTAAAGCAGCCAATTTCTCTTCACCTTCTGATGGTTCTGATTTATCATCTAAAATTTGTTGCATTTGTCTGAAATAATGAAAAATACAATATATGTACATAAGAATACAGAACGTCTGTTTTAAGTGAATATGGTAAAATATTTTCTAAACAATGTTATATAAAAAGAATATTCTTAAAAAAATATGGTATGGAAGGAGACATGATGTTATTATAAATTATATTTACATGAAATCAAATTGATACTTATGGAGTAAATGCATATATTATAAGTGTATCTTGTTAATCCCTATTTTATTTTTTAAATATAAGTACTTTAATTTTTCTTAAATCACAATTTTTTTTATTCTACTATAAAGCAGGGAAACCTGTGATTTCTATAATTAGAAGTAAGTTCAAGATTATAAAAGAAAACAAAATCACAAATAAAATATTTCAATATAATAAAAATTCAAAATATGTATATATATATATATATACAAATGTTTAAACAATTTTTAATAAATAAATCTTCGAAGGTATAATGTCTTACATTTTTATTTTTCATTTTGGATAATAAAACTAATTTTATCATATATTTAATTATATAATGTACAATGTATTGTACATTATTCTTAATGTATAAATTGTATGATGTATAATGCACAAAATGGATCTTTAATCATTACAGTAGGACTAAAATACTTTTAAACACGTTACAATATTTCACTTACATTTCAATTTCACAAGCTTGAAGGATTCTGCTTTTGTGATAAATAAGGACCTTGAAATATTTTCCCTTGTGATATACAACAATATGTTTAGAATCCTGATAATGTACAATTTTATCTGTTTCAAGCCCTGGCACTCTTGTAGTATTGAATAGTCTTTCGTATTGCCATGAACAGAGAGGCACCAAACCTTGAATTAATATCTACAAGAAAAAATAAGTATTACCTAAGGATTTATATATTGCACTGTTTTAAAATATAACAAAATTTTAATAATTTCCATCTATTATCAAATTAAATTTAAATATTGGATTATTTTGATAAAGCATAGCGAAGGTATTGAAATTATGTAATATCGGTAAAGAATAGATCATAATAAATATAAATTCAAATAATTATTTATTAAAAATATGATTTAATATATAATCAATACAAAAATATTTAATTAAGCAGAAGCAGAAGAAAATATTTTACTTATAAAAACTTATTTATATACTGACCGGTTCTAATTCTTGGCGTTCAATGAGTCGTCGATACTGCAGACACGAATAAATAACACTTGCAGCACGGGCAACTTGTACATGAGTAGGATACATAAGAATCGCATCAATACCATAAAAGTTTGAATTCACCATGATAGGAGATCGCCCACGTAAATAAACATATTCTTCCCACCAATCAGAAACATAATTAGTGGCCCACCAAGATTTTAAAATCAAATAACGTTGAAGCTTCACACCAATGCCTCTTTGAAACTCATTTGCCAATGTCTCCATTCGAGAATAATTTTTATCGTCAAGTAATGGTCGAACACTGCGTAGGTACTAATTAAATATATATATATTTTTATTAATATTACGTTTAATTATATCATAATAATAAATAACTAAATGAACATATCTTAGAGAAAACGGTGAAAAATATGAAAGACCATCTTTTTTTCTAAAAAAGTGAGTACTTACTCACGGCTTATATAGGATTACGAAATATTCTATAATCTAACCCGTTTCATTGTATTTTCCACTAAGGGTAATGGCAGTCGTGGCAATGATCCTTGAAAACTATACAGCATTGGTTTGTGCCATCCAAAGAACAACTTCACTAATGTGGACCACAACTTAGTAACTCTTGAAGCATTGGACCTTTTTTCTCTTGACTCATACATCCATCCTTTGTACATAAGTAATAACTTCAAGATGTAACGCATTATATATATTACTATCAACCACAAAAACAACCCAACTATAAATGATCCTGCTAAGTGTGCTAATATTGAAGATCTATGCAATGTAAACACCAGCAGTGTAAGCTTTCATTAATTTCATTAACAATTACACAAAAATTATATTAAAAAAAGATAATTAAACTTACCCTGAAAGATATGGTGCAGCTTTTTCAACAAGGTCATAAGGTACTTTGTAGCCAGCAAAATGTATTGCAGTTACCAAAGCTATAGTGAACCATAAACTTTCTAAGGAGGCAGGGTATACACCACTTCTCAAGTTATTCTGAAATTCATTTAATTATTTTCTTAAATGCTTCTTTATTATTATTTATTTATTTATTACTTATTAATTTATTATTTATTATTATCTATATTATTTAAATGTACTTTAAATTAATGTTTATTTACTTACAACAAATCTAAAAAATCTTTTCTTCCAAGAACGGATACCTGATTGCCATACTAAATGTAAAACTTCTCTATCAAAATTAACATCCCATCCCTCATGAGTAATAGAAAAACTAAATGCTACAGCTGAATGTGCTTCCGCCATATCACTAGTTATATGCTATAAAACTGAAATAAGCATAAATCAAATTTATAACAACGATAGTAACAATAATTAGTATTTAAAAAAAATACATTTTTCTTCTAACTTTAATCTAATCTTTATACATATATACTTTCCACATTCAAGATATACATATATGTATTTGCTTATAATTTGTATAATTTCTCTGATATTTCAGTAAAAATTTATTTTTGGGTACTATAAATCCAAACTAAATGTGCAAATATATTTCTGAAAATTTTAGTGTCATTTGTTATGTAATTTAATAAAATATAGTGATATTTCTAATGTAAAATTCAATAATAGTTATAAAAAATAATAATGCAATTTTCAAATATTTTAATATATAGATTTTATATATGCACGTATAAAACTTTATCCAGTTATTAATTTCTTAAGTATAAAAAAACGTCTTATTATTGTATTACTGTGCATATGTATAAGCTATCATATTTTAGAAAACATTAAGTGCACACTTATAACATGACTATATCATATGTTTCATTCTATAAGTCTATATTTGTGTACTTATTACGCATAACAAAGAAAGATTATTAAATTCAGTAAGAACTATCAAAATTGTTAAAATCAAGTATGATATACAAGCTATCTGAAGGTATCAACCATAATTGTATCATTTTTAAATAATTATTTCTAATTATATATAAAAAAATACACTTTAGCTTACGATAAAAGTTTAAAACAGTTGAAAATAACATGCACGTATACTTTCAAATAGAAACGGTTCACTTTTACGCTTCGGTTATATAACCTTGGACTTTGAACGATGCTCGTCTGGTTGGAAAAGTGGTCGTAATTTTAGCAAACAATTACTTGATCTCACTATACATTCTAAATCCACTTACATACATAGTCTACACATATTCTAAAATAGTATTTATTATGAATTCTATAATATAGGATATCTTGATCATATTAAATAATAGTGTCTCCCAAAATTTTTGTAAATTTATATAATATAGACCTCTTTACTTAATTTAACTTAGCAATGTTCTCTTCCAAGTGCTCTATGTATTCTATGTATTCTCAAGTATTCTATGAATTTTTTTTGCTATATAAATATAATAATATATTTCCAAACGAAAACATCTTAAACTTAACGTTCAACTTTCTTTAATTTGTATATGCAGACGTTCGTGAGTACTTTACGTATAGAATATTGAAATGACAGATAATTTAAATAAAAATGTAAATAAAACAAATCAAGAATTTTGAAGCTGTTTCTTCGCAAAGTTATTTCTTTAAAAACAGATAACTAAAGTTCATAATAATTATCATAATCATTATCAAAATTATTTAATTAAAATAATTTTCAAGTTAGATTAGTTATTTAATTTATAAATTAATTATTCGAACGCACGTACTCTTATTGAAAACAATTTTTTTTTTAAATTGATAGGAAAGCTATTACCGTTATTTCAAGCAAAGATATCAAAGATCATATTTGCCATTAATTTATATATCTGATAAAATTTACGTATTATTGCCATAAAAATTAAATATTCAGATATGTACTTATGTATGTATTTATGTATGAGTGGTAATGTATCTTGAATCATTTGCAACTTTTTAAAAAAGATACTATAAAGAATATGTTATAATGGGAGGATATGTTGCTTATTTTCCAATACCAATTCCAAATTACATTAGATTCTAATATAAAATATTTGAAATTTATAATTCAATTATTATTTCAGTTAAGAGAAGACAAATAGGAATTAATTGTCACGTATAATTGTTAAAATATTCAAAGACCTGTGTATAAACTTTGAGACCAACAAAATTAGGTTAGTTTTAAGTTACTTTCCTAGATATCGTACTAGTTTCATTTATAGTAATTATCTTGCGCATCTAGTTATATACAAAATTGGATATTTATCATTCCAAAATAGAGATACTGAAGTCTTTGTGAAATTGGATAAGATTTTCTCCAAAGAACAAAGCATCATTATCCATTTTTTAATTTGTTATTGCTATAACTCATTGTATGAAAATATTGTTTTTGGTCAATAATCATATCAAGTAAATCATATTTTTATGTAATGATATTGAAACAACCAGATAATTTGTATATAAATCAGAAAAAGTTAGAATGTTTATTATTATTACTAATTACAATTTTCATTTACAACATATTTTATAAGTGTAAAAAGTATTTATGTATCGATGCATCTATGTATATGTATATGTGTATGTATGTGCTACAATTGTGGCTTCTTTAATAAGATCAACTAGCCTATTTCCTCCTAATCTACAATATCGTACTTACTATTGGAAGGGAAATAAATAAGTGGTATGAAAAAAGATGTATTAAGTCAAGAACTTCATTATTTAAATGACACTACACTATATTTCATTATCATTCTTACTTCCTTTATAGTTTACAAAATTGCTAGGTCACCATTAATTAAAATACAAATTGAAGGTTATTTTGTATGTATAATCAAAGGCCAAAGCATACAGATGTATGTATGTATGTATGTGTGTGTGCGCACGCGCGCGTGTGTGCGTGCATGTATGTATATAATGCATTAAGCAATATATCCATGACACTACTTTTCACATTCCAAAGTAAAAGAATTATATATGTATAGCTGATATTTATCAGTGAGTCGTGTTGCTGCAACTTCAGGACTGTTTACAAACGTTGCGGCACAACGAGTATAATAGATAATGGATTCAATCTACTGTTTTAAAAAATATACTTTCTGTGATGAAGAATTTACATAAGTTACTTTATACAATTTATTCCCCAAATCACCAAATAAAAATAGCATAAGCGGAAAATAATCTCGTTTACAAATTAAACTAATTAATTAGCTTTACCTTAGAATATCTATTTTATATAGTAAATTCACTACCTAACAGCAAATACGTGCATGTATCGAATGATACATAAATAGTACCTTTTAGGAATATAATATTTAATTGCTAGCACGGAACTGTATTATAACTTGACTTTTATGTTTATTAATAAGACATGTGAAATAGAGCCTACGAAGTGATAGCACACTTCAACTATCGTCTAGATTTCTTAATTTTCCTTGACTTGTGCAAATATAATGTATAGACACAGGCAGTCATTATTAACAATATTACAGATATTCGTTATAAAAATGAGATTGCAACAAAAATTAAACAACGGGGAAATTCAAAATTCAAAACTGTTGTTGGATAGTTATAATATGAAAAAAGAGCAAACACTTCTATGACTTCTGCGTGCTGTATTGAATTTATATTTCATAACATGTGTAATTATTCAGAAACTGAAGAGAAACATTCGTTGTTCATTTCAAATATATAAGAATATTAAACGGTTAAGACCGAAAAAAAACTTGGATTAATAGTAAAATGTATGAGGGATTAAATAAACCTTATAATAAATACATAACATATACAGTAAAATAAAAATATTCGAGATATCTCGTATTAATCTACGAGAGATAATTCAGATGACTTGGATTATTACTATTAACACATATAAAAAAGAGGATTTTGATCATGGAAGAACAGTGTCAAATGGGTAAAGGCAGTGTTATGTTTTGGACGAGTCTGTGATGAAAAAACTGATACGGTATTAATCCAAAGACAAAATAAATAGCATCATTTATCATAATTTGATACAACAAAAATATTGTTTACCAACACCATGATACTATAATTTCTATGTCGAAATCGTGAATCCCTATCAAATATTAGGGCTTCGTATTCATATATGTAACTCGCTACTAGCAATAAATCGAAGTTTTATTTGGTGCTTATTATCTCTATGGTAGTTCATCATCTCCCACGTGAATGTATTCATAATTCTAACTATGCCAAAAGTATATAAATTTCCTTTTTTGTTTATAAAATTAGTATTGACTAGAGATTGCCAATGCTTAATGACATGTTTATAATTCATAAGAAGCTGATTAAAAGAAACATATAGATGGCAAAGCTTATTAGTTCTAAATGAAATACGTAATTTTTTTTTTAATCACTTGTATCCATTAACTCTACGTTCAATATCGAGATATGATATATTTACATACTTAGTATTGTTTGTTTTTCTTTTTAATGGTAATTTATAATTTTTGTGTTTATTTCATATTACTATATTAAATTCAAAAATTGAAACTTTGAGCAAAACATTACAATAAAAGCGTAAAGTTGAATTTTGACATTACACAAGATCATATTGAAAATTTTACTGGAAAAACGAATTATTTTAATATAAAAGACAATCATAAAATCATTGCAGTTTCGATATCGCGTAAAAAACAAATATCTAAATAGATATTCCGCTGAATTTTATCACACCTGAAAATCCCTTAAATTTGAATACAAAATATTAATTAAGATTGATTCAAGACTATATTAGTACAAATTAATGTGCACGCACATACACATACATTTGCAACATTATTACGTATATCAAGTATGTAGCTACAAATTTTAAGTATTACCTTAAAAAAACGCGTAGGTTTTAAAAAAGATATAGAAATATAATAATGTATGCTGTAATACTTTACGAAAATCAATTTTTACGAAAATTGTTTATCAGAAAATTAATGTTTTTTATAAAATATTTACAATATATATATATAATATTTATACTAATAATCTTGCAATGCATACGAATATAAGTTGGAATATCCATATGGAATATTGAGAATGCAAGTAATCTTCCAAAAATATTTTGAATCTACATACTGGGAATTGTCAAATTTGTTATATGTAATAACCAATATATTATTATTACTATTATCGTTGTTGTTATTATTATTCTTAAACTATAATAATAATGAAAAAGAAATTTAATTAGAAAGTTATTTAACGTATCATGTTAATACATTCATATGTTATTACGCAGATAATTTATTTAGTATATTATGAAACCGAATTCAGTATATGAAATATATATTCTTTAAATTATATAAATTTTATAAAACATAATAACTATGTTCTTGTTTTTAGAAAAAGGTACATTCCTACTGTATACGTATATTATTTCTTTTGTATATATGAAATGGAAGCCAAAGGTTATTAGCCTTAAGAACTGAAACTTGCATTCTGATTGGTTAAAGTGAAGGGTGTGCGTAGTGCGTGGTCGTGCCTCCCATCTTGGATTTTTTTCGTGTAAGTAGGCCAAAATAATTTACTTAGTCGCTATTAATAAACTGCAATTTTCCCATGTGTTGTTTATATTTATAAATAAATAGAAATTAATTATCAAAACATTACCCCGGTTAACAGGAATTCCCGTGGCGTATACAGAAGTAAATTTTATGGTAGAAATTTCACAAAGTAATAGGATTGTAAATCTTTGAATATCTCTCAATCCTTACACACCTTTCGTTCCACTGCCTCCACTACGACTTCGTATATAATGTACTATTCACTCAGCCTTTTAACCCCCTCCCTATATTCACAACTACATAAAATAATCAAGTTGCCAACTTGTTGGCTAAACTAAACTATAGAATGCTCATCACTTACACGTTAATATCTCTACTTGTATATATTAACTTGCATATATGTACATATATACGATGCAACGACGATGATAACGAAAATATTACCTATAATACACGAAAGGATTCCTTATGCATAATGATGATTTACTCGGCTAACAATTATTATTTAGTCGATTAATAATAATTTAAAAATTTAATAAATTATGTATTTATTAACACAAACAATATCACTTTTATTCAAATAACAATTACATATCGCGTTGTACATATGCATTCGCACGCGCGTTCATACGCACACACATACACACATGTATATACTTTTATTTATGTACATTTTTTTAGCTAAATATTATCTTAATTCTTATTTGTTTAATATTTTTACATTTTATCTTTTGCTCAGATAAATAATAATTCTCAGCGATGTTGTTTTCGTATATAATTATCAATATTTAATAATAAATATGGTTATTATGAGTACGGTAAATATGTGTGTTACTTACATTATACTATAGAGTATGCGTTAACGATAACAAAAACTAAGATTGGCAATACTGAAAGTTAATAAGCTTATAATTTCTCTTTAAAAACAAGTTATCTAAAAACATAAATGTTAAATATATACTCATATATATATATATGTTAATATTATTTTAATTGTTTTCAAATTGTTATGCTATATGTTTACTATAATAATTTACTTATTGAGATTATAATATATTATATTATATGAGATTATATTATATACCAATTTTATTAATTTCATGTTATCATAATTTTAGTGTTATCAAACGGACATACTTACTTATCCGTGTGCAAATAATTACGTATAAAGTATGGATTTAATAAGATTCGGATTATTAACAGGTAGTTTATTACATTGTTATTACATTGTTATTTTAAAGTTGTCCAAAATTTGATTTGTTTATAAATTTTATTTGTTGATTCACTTTAATAACACCATAATATGTAGTAATTTACAAATTTTATCATTAGTTAGTGATAGCTGCTATAAATGTGAAAATGAAGATAAAAGTGGACATGAAATAGAACAATGTATTAAAGATGAAAAGTCTGATATTGCAAAGATTTTAAGAGGTCAAGTATGTTATAAACATATCGTTCCTGATGACAAATTTACAATAAAGGTAATTATTTAGTATAGAATTTCATAACTTGATATGTATATGTATATTTTTATATGCCTAGGAATATCTAATTTCATGGAGCAGTAATGGACAAGTAGATGTTATTCTTACAATTGGTGGAACAGGATTTTCTAAAAGAGATGTAACTCCTGAAGCAACAAAACAAATTATTCAAAAGGAAGCTCCTGGAATAATTGCAGCTATGCTAATATCCAATCTAAAAATCACTCCATTGGCTATGTTATCTAGGTACAATGTTTTTTATAAAATTAAATATTTGAAAATTATTCATTGATATCATTATCTTAACTTGTCGTGTTTTCATATTTTATATTAACGTTAGCATATATTACGGTACTTCATTAAAAAATTAGAAAATTTGTTGAATAACTAATCTTTTTTGTTATTACTATTTTTATTGATAACAGATATTGTTATTATTATTTTTGGGTAATTATTTGTAGAGTACGATAATATTAATATTTTTGTTGTGATATTAACATGTTTGTTGTCTTGCTTCTTAGTCTAACTAATATAACAGATATTTTTAAAACAGTAACTTATTTCTTTTTCTAACATTTATCTATTTACAAAGTTTATTTTGTTGATAAGCATTTTCAAAATGTATGTTACATGCACACTGCATAATTTTTTTTCATTAATACACGTTTTTCGGTAGTCTTTAAATGTATATTTTAAATATATGTTATTAAGAGGTGTATGTGGAATACGAGATAAAACATTGATTATAAATTTACCGGGATCACCGAAAGCTGCAAAGGAATGCTTAAGCGTAATCGCATCTGCTATACCACATGCTGTTGACTTAATTAGAGATAATAAGGAAAGAATAAAAGATACGCATGCAAATGTGCAAAATAACATTGTTGCAGAAATTCCCTTGTCACAAGGACAAGATAAAATTATGGTAAGGCTTTATTAAATAAAATCTCTTCTAATTAAATGAATAACTTTTCGTGCATCAAAAAAAGAAATATACAGAATGTAAAAAAATTGATTTTGTAGAAGATTTTTAGGGAGATATTACTCATAGATTTCTTTATAGATGGAGCGATAGATAAAATTTTGGATGAAAAATACCTTTCAAAAGATATTTGATATTTCGGCAATAACTCAAACATGCTATAGACGTAAACATAAATATATGTAAAAAGGAATGTATATGTATATTCTTTTTCTACAGTCATGTTTAGCTAGTATAGTTGAACGCAGTAGAGAATCTCCATATCCAATGATCTCTGTGGAAGAAGCTCTACAGTTAATACATAAACATGCAGAACTGTTAAATTTGAATGATACATCAGAGGAGGATCTAGAAAAATGTCATGGCAGGATATTAAGTGGTGATCTATATTCTAAGTATGATTTACCACCATTTAGAGCCTCTATTAAAGATGGTTATGCAGTCTTAGCAAGCGATGGAAAAGGCAGAAGAAAAGTACTAAGCGGAATAAAAGCAGGAGACACTGTAAGCAATATCTTCAACGTATTTTGATATAACTAATATAAGATTTCAATATTATAAATTTATAGGCCACTGCGATTAAACTTGAACGTGGCATATGTGTAAGAGTAAATACAGGTGCTCCAATTCCAGATGGTATGCTTAATATGCTCAATTGGAATAATATTTTTTGCCATTTTCTTATTATTTTTTATTTAAAGATGCAACAGCAGTTGTGCAAGTTGAAGATACTAAACTTTTAAAGGGAACTTCAGATAGTATGGAGGAGAAGGAAATCGAAATTATGACAGAAATACAACCAGGCCAGGACATTAGGTATCTTGTTTTTAGTTATATGATGTTCGTTAAACAATAATATAATAGTTATTCTCTCTTTTATTTACTTTAAGGCCAATTGGTTGCGATATTAAAAAAGGAGAATTAATTTTGAAGTCAGGAACAAAACTTGGAGCAATAGAATTAGGGCTTGCTGCTGCATGTGGTTACAAAAAGATATTAGTCACTGATCTTCCAAAAATTGGTGTATTATCTACAGGAGATGAATTACAATGTCCTGGGACTACTTTAATGCCAGGACACATATATGATAGTAATAAAATTACATTATTAACAATGTTAAGGGAAAATGGTTTTGATCCTTTGGACATGGGCATTGCATTGGATGAGTAAGTTTTTCTTTATTTATATTTTGTTTCCTATATTTAAAAAACGTTATTTTAGTTTAATTGTTATATGTTATGTAGTGAGAGCATTATGGTACATAAGATTAAACATGCTCTAAAACAAGTCGACGTACTCATAACATCAGGTTCTGTATCAATGGGCGATAGAGATATGCTGAAGCCTATTTTACAATATTATTTTAATGCTACTATACATTTCGGTAATATCATTATTTAATAGTATAATTATGGTTATACACATACAATATGTATACAATAATTTTGAATATTATAGTAAACATTTGAACATTTAAATTTTAGGACGAGTAAACATGAAACCTGGGAAACCAACTACTTTTGCAACATGCTTTTTCCAAAATAAGAAAAAATATTTATTGTGTTTGCCGGGTAATCCAGTTTCTGCGACTGTTACTATGAATTTATTTGCATTGCCTTTACTAAAGCAATTATGCAAAGACATCTCCATGCCAACGATTGTGTCAGCAAAAGTATGTAATGTATTTATGTATTTCGAATTGTTAGTCTGTATAGTATTTAATTATATTTTGATGATAGTTAATGTCATCTTATAAGTTGGATCCACGTCCGGAGTATGCAAGAGCAATTTTAAAATGGAATGATGTAGATACTTTGCCATTAGCTTACAGTACTGGAAATCAAATTAGTAGTAAATTACTTAGCTGTAAAAATGCAAATGCATTATTAATATTACCAGGATGTAAAGCAGAAAAAACTGTATTACAACAAGGGGAGGTGGTACAAGCAATGTTGTTGGGATTTACGCAATGGTCATAATTGAACAAAGACAAATAGGAGGGTAAAAATGAAATTGTTATAAACACTTTATTATCCTATATTTGGTTAATGGAATTAAAATGTAATATAATATATGTACATTGTTTATACATATAAAATATTTGTATATAAAAGTTTGTTAAAAACAAGGTGTAGTTTTGAAAGTATATATTTGTATACATATATTCGTGTAATGTTCATTGTAATTCTGCAATAAAATATTTTTTAAGCGACAAAATTTTGTATAAATAAATTTATATAAATCATAGTACATTATAATACATTATAATTATATATATATATATATTTATATAACATTTATATATTTTGTTCTATTCCTTATTCTCTCTATATGTATGTCTATATTATTTTACGTGAAGAAGAGATGAGAAAAATCTTTACTGTTGTCTGCTACTGAGTTTAAACGAAGAAGTGATTCCATCTGGTGGAGATGTAAAGAAAACCACAGAATATAAAACCACAGAGATAGAATCTGTTATTTGGTATGGTATAAAGGAGGAGTGGGGGAGCGGCGCGAGGAAGAAAATGGCCGACAAGGCAACGGTAAAAGGGCAGGGACGTCGAGTGAGATACGTGTTTCGGGAGAAAGAAATGCGAAATCCGTGTTAGATCTTATGAAACCAGACGGGAAGTATTAGTAAAACGATCGTGTTATTGCTTCTTTTGGTGGTGTGTTCAAATAAAATATTGTCGGACTAGTCTATTGTATTGGTGTATTAATTTATTGTTTAAAAAAGCGTTCGCGGGCCGTGTGTAAGAATAAAAGGGCTTGATAGACGTAAACATAAATTATGCGTTAGTTTATGTATATTTTTTGTCGGCCGATTATACTTATATTCTACACATGTAAGTGATTTTGTTGAAAATATATTACTAGAAACTTTTATAATAGTATATGAGCTTGGCAAAATTTCGTACGTGACAAATTCATCGATCAGTAGAGTAGGTTTATGTTAGCCACTTGTGGCCATCTACGGATACATTTAAAAAGTATCCTGTTGTCCTTGTCCTTTTAATTTCTCTATCTTCAACGTGGGCTCTACATTTTTTGTGAGTTCCCTGTATTTTCTCTATGAAATATGAACGGATTCTAGTGAAAAATTTTGAACAACGAATTTATCTGATGCATGTTATATGACGGAAGTAATGAAATTCAAAGGGATCGATTTGTCAACAAGTCGATGAAAGTTCGCGCATTCGACAATCTCGATCGTAATTCTTCTTCATTTTACCGTAGAATTTGGATACTTTGTTGACTGTTAGGAAATATGGAACTGGTTTCACTTCGTTTTACTTGTACTTTAATTGCCTTTAAACATGGTTTATTTCGAATAACAATATAAAATACTAGTATGTGTGTGTGTCAGTTCGTCGTCATCTTGAGATTCTCATAAAAAAAAGAGAAATAATCGAATTATCTTTGCATTATACAAGTTTTTAATGCATATAAGACAAGTTCTCTTATTGCTAATAATATATCTTCAAAAAAGTAGATTTCAAAAGTAGTTTACTTTGCTATTATATGTTTTGTGTTATTTTTCTATGATAAAAAGATGCTAATAAATTTTCATGTATTTGTTTTATTTTCAGAGATAGTTTCAAAAAAAGTTACAAGAGTTATAATATTTTACAATGGCAGTTAGGTAGTTTTAATGGTTTGCTCAGCGCTTTTTTAAATATTGAGCACATTTCCATCAAATTGAAAATGTAAAGAAAACAATCATAATGAAGCCACAGAAAAAGGCAGCAGTTGCCCGGAAGGCAACAAAGATGCCAACAATTGCTAAAAAACGTCGATCATTTTTAGAAAAGTCTATATCTGATATAAGAAAAGAGAAAAAGCCTAAGAAGCTTGAGAAGGGGGAGGATGCAAAAAGAAAAATAGAAAGTGATAAAAAGAAATCAGAAAAAACTGAGGAAAGAAAGAAGATAGAAGATAAGAAAAAGATTGAAGAAAAGCGAAAAGAAAAATCTGAAAGAGTGGATGAAAAAAAGAAGTGTATAAAAGATTATGAAAAGAAGTGGGAAAAAACTGAGGAAAAGAGATCAGATAAAACAGATGAGAAGATCACAGATGAGTGTACTTGCGACAGTGCAGAGAAAAAGAAATTACAAAAAATGGAAGAGAAGCCAAAAGTAGATAAACAACTAATGGAAAATAAGAAGAAACCTGAAAAACTAGAAGACAAAAAGAAATGTGGTAAATTTGATGATGAAAATGTAGAGGAACAAGCGAAACTTTCAAATGTTACAGAAGAGAATGATTTGCACGAGGAAAAGTTAGATCACCTTTGTACCATTGTGAAGAAAAAATGTAAAGATGAGAAAAAGAAAGATTCAAAATTGATGAAGCCTGATATCAAGGAAAATATGAAAATATCTGTGATAAAAGATAAGAAATCAGATCGTAAAAAGCTCCTTGAGAAAGGTATGATAAATACTAAATCTCCCTTAGGACGAACTAAAAAAGATTCTAAGGCAAAATCAATGCAAAAAAAAGGTATTTCTAGAAAGACTGTTTTAGCTAAAAAATCACATTTATCGGTAGTTCAAAACCTGGTGGATAAAAAAATTAAACTAAGCAAATTGGTAAAAGATGAAGAAACATCTGTAAGTGAAGAGGATGAAACAATGAAAAGAACAAAAAGAAAAAATGTTAATATTTCTAAAAACAAAATTATGCAAGAGAAAAAACCAAAATTAGGAAAACATATGAAAGCTAAGTTGCCTTCAAAAAGTAATAAAATAAATACTGCACTAAAAAAAGATGATAAGCTAAAAACACTTGTAGAAAAAGTTATATCTAAGAAAAGATTGGATGCAAAAGAAACAGAAAAATTAACAAATGAACATAAGAAGATTATAACTAAAGATGAATTAAATGAAGAAGTAAATACAACTAATATAAAAAGCGAATTGGAAGACGATAAAGACATTGATAAAAGTAGTAAAGAAGAACAATCTCAATCAAAATCACAAGATATTAAAAAGATTGTTAAATGTGCTCCAAAAATAGGGAAAAAGATAATGAAAAAGAAAGTTGTGAAAGTACAAATAGAGAACACTAGCCAAACTTCTTCTTCTTCTGAGGAAACATCATCCGAGGAATCTAGTAAACAAATAAAAGTTTGTGAAGATAGCTCAAATGATAACGCATCTTCTAAACAAGAGCAAGTTGATAGTGAAAATATACTTGACACAAACTTGAAAGATGAACCGATTAATGGGGACAATATAAGTGGCAATACGTTATTGTCAGAATCAGAAGATGAAAGTGATGATGAAACAAAAAAAAATAAGCAGAAAGAAATTAAAAAAAAAGAAAGATCCGGTTCACCATCTGATGAACGTGTTAGAAGAATGAGATTGTTTGGATTTTGGAGTGGACCAAAACGATATAGAGTAGCTTCCCTGAATGCATTGGCCAAAGTACATTGTTTATATGAAAATGAAACTGGAGGGGTTTATCTTGGTGGTTTCTGCAAACCAAAGCCTGAAAAGGAAAAACAAAAGAAAAATAAAGAGGAGAAAGAAGAGCAAATTCGTAAAGAAAAAGAAAAGAAGGTAGAAACTAAAGCAGAAGAAAATATCCCAAAAAGGAAACTCAGGAATGTACCAGGATTACGTGGAAAGCATTGGGATATGTTAGAAAGTTCGTCATCTTCATCTTCTTCTGATGATGAGTGTGAACGTGATAAAAATATGGAACATAACAAGAAAAAAATAATCAAACGAAGAAAGAAAAATGAAGAAGTAATGGATCTAAAGGATATGGTTGTTTGTAAAAGAATGGCAAGCCTCAATGCTACAGCTATTCTAGCTGCTTCCTACTCAGATGAAAAAAATCGTTGTGGTAGCAGTTCTGATTCTTCCAGTGAATCAGAAGTGGAAATTATTAAAAAGCGTAAACAAAATGATTCTGACATTGAGAAACGAAAGTCAAGGCAAAATCCAGAACAAGATGAAGTTCTAAAACCATCTAATAAACTTGTTATTGTGAACCAAGACACAGATGTTACTATTACTGGTACGCGATTATATTTCATTAAGTTCACTTTTCACATTTGTTTGCTATTTACATTAGAACAAAATTTTTATTTTAAGGTGTTTATGTTAATCAAACTCGATCTACGCATCATGAAGGTTATTGCAGTATTGCTGGCATGCAATATAGAATAAGTTCAACAAGTCATACTCAAACTGCAGCTACTGCAGTTGCTACTGAGCTCCATGATCAGGTTGGTATTGTTATGTGTTTTCAGAGTTTCTTTATTTTTAAATATAATTTAAAAAAGGTATGTATTAATTTAAAAATTGTTAAATGCATTTATATCTTTTGCGCCAGCAAAAATTGGAGCAACCTTGTAAATCATATACACCTTTGGGGGCGCTATCTTCTATGCAACCACCAGGGAGTCAGAGTAATCATCCAAATATGTCACCTAGAAGACATTCTGCATTTTCAGCACCACATCAACATGGTAAACTATCTGTCTTATTTATTATAATTATTTATTAAATAAGTGTGAAATATATTGAAAATCAAGTTGATGTTTGAAAGAACAAAAATACATAGAAGTATAATATACACGAAATATAACATTAGGATATTATCAGCCGGCTGGACCACTGATACAGCACCCACCAACTTTACCACCTATTAAGGGACCTCCGCCAGAACCAACACCTACACCTCCACAGAATTCTGAAGGCTCAGATGATTTAGTTGCAACTTCTACAACTTCTGGAGGAACAAGCAGTACAGGTATATTTATACACTAATAACTATTTTACATTACAATCTTAAATTTGATAAATTTCAATTACTTTAATGCTTTGAACAATTTTTTTCATCCATATATTTATTAAGAAGAGTATAGTGTGGTATAAAATCAATGGGATGTACATATATTCCGAATATTTAGATTTACAAATTAACAAAAATTTTTTTTGTTGTACCACTAACTTTAATTTCTAACATTTTATTTAAAAAACTTTCTTAGCCTAAAATTCTTCTAATATCTAAACAATGCATACAATAAAAAATTCAGCTTATGAACTTTCTGTAAGGTATTTTTAAAGATTTTGAATTGTTTATCAGTTAACATCTCTATTTTTTTTTTTTTTTTTAGGAGGTGGATTTTATAGGGCATATTGCCCTCAATACTATGGTACACCACCACAATATGCAGATTTGTGTTATCCACCAACATATTCTCATCCACATGCTCATCCACCGCCTTATTATAAATATGCACCCACTTATAGAAGGTAAAATATGCTAACCGTGTTATTTTTCGTTACTTTAGCAAAATTATGATTATATTCAATTTTGATTTTTAATGTACTGTAAAAAAAGGTACCTTTTCAGGCAGTATTATGGATATCAGGAATCTGGTGGAGGCGGCGGTCCTGGTAGCGGTGGTACTGCAGGAGGTCCAGCAGTTGTTGATTATCAGCCACCTCCACCGCCACCTGGTGAATACCCCCTGCCACCATATTATGGAGGATATCCTCCACCTCCACCACCACCTCCTCCACCACCCAATCCGGCATATTTGCATTCTCAGGGAAGACCTTTTGTAGATCGTGAGTATCTTAAATAGTTACCAAACATATTTTCGTTATTGTTTGTATAAAATAGTCTAGGTACAGGACGATTTTTCCTTCCTAGAAAATCATTATAAATTATGCTGTTAAGACTCATGGTTGTTCTAGTATTAAATTGTTAGTTATTATTAAATACTATGAATTTGAAAATGGTAATCTTATTGAGAAAAAAGAAATGATAGGATAAAGTATGTTGTAGTTGTTTTATTAATTACATTATACGAAATAAAATGAGAATGATATTAGAAAATAATTCGTTTTAGATGCAGCCTTCCAGGGTTGCCCATGCCCGATGCAGTCTTGTCCAAAAAACGTGGATACTGGGCCCCTTATTGGTAATGGTAAGGGAGCGCCAGTGGTATCGGGGCCCGGTCTGTCATTGCCGCCCAGTGCTTTGGTAGGTCCGCCCTCGCC